TCCAGCAAGTGAACAAACTCTCCCTTTCTTCATTCCCCAACGGGCTGCAGCTCCTGTGCGCACCTGCAGGCGGGCGGCTGTCCCCGCCGCCGCGCCTTCCTCCACGCCCTGCTTCAGGGTCGCGGACTTGTGCTGCAGCAGGGACTCCTCCAGTGCCACGACCTCCATGGCAAGGTCCTGGCATGGTGATGCACGGCGGGGATCGGCACCAAAGTGTGCACCAGCTTTTGGCGAGGTGTGCATGCCAGACCCTGGGGACAGCCAGAGCCCCGCTCGTCAGCCCTGCCACACACGGATCCTCAGTGTTCCCACCTGGGCCCTCTCCTGTGCGGCGGTGGCGGCGTGGGTCAGCGCGTCCCGGTGCTGCGCCAGGCTTTCCTCCCGCGCCATCGCCTCCGCCAGCTGCTCCCGGAGCGCTGAGACCTCGTGCTGCAGCGCCTCCACCACCGCGCCCTGGAACCCGGGTTTAAAAAGGGGTAATATGGTGTGCTTTGGGGTGATCCTGTTCAACACCTGGGTATCGTGTCAAGTTGATAAGCAGGGAAGGTTTCCTTGGGAGGGGCTTCAGCCTGTTGGCCTCACGTCACTGCCTTTAACCGCCAGGCATTCAGAGCAGCCAGGTGCTGCTTCACTTGCGACCACCTCAGGCCTCTGCCTCACCCTGACAACAATACCCACTGAAAGCGGACACCCTGAACGATCATGCTCCCCTCCCTCTCCTCCCCCACTCCCTTACGTGCCTGCTGGTTGAAGGCCTGCACCATGGACTCGTGCTCGGCCGTCACGGTGGCGGCCTGCTGCGCCTGCTGCGCCAGGCCCCGCTGCAGCGCAAATCGCTCCTCCGTCAGCTCGGCGATGTGGGCCTGCAGATCCGCAAAGTCGGCGCGGCGGCTACGGGAGGAGGCGACGCCGTCCGCGGGCTGGTGGGGGTTGTCCCCCGCCACACTCCCGGCTTGGCTGCTGGCCGCCGAAGGGAGGGCGGCGCTGGTGGAGGATGGCGGGGGAGGGGCGGGGAGGGGTGGCGTAAGGGTGCCGCTCCATGGGCGGGGCTCGCCCAGGCGTGAAGTGCTGCTAGGAGCGGCAGGCAGGGGGAGCCCCGGCCCAAGCCAGCTTGAGCTGACAGGCTGCGTGCCGGGCCCGCTGCCGGCCTCAGGCCTCGAGGTCCTGTCGGCTATGAACGCCGAAGGACCAGGGGCGGCCTGAAGCCAGTCCGGGCGGGCGGGCCTGCCACCTGGGCCAGGGTCTGCCACCAGAGGAGCGGGCTGTGGTGGCAGATCATGCTGCATCATCCCCTCGTGACTGCGCTTGGCGAGAAACGAGCTGTCGAGCACAGGATCTGGCTGCCTGGCTGGTGGAGGCGCCGGTGAGGCACTGGGTGGGCTTGGACCTAGCCATGGGGAGGATGGTGCGGCGGGTTGGGTCCCACTTGACACGCCATCAGCCTTGTCCAGCCAGTGCAGAGGTCCAGAGGAATCCTGTGAGGTGGCTGCAGGGACATCAAGGCCAGCATCCGATGCCTGCGGTGCATCAGTCCTGCTGGGTTCAGGGGTGGGCTCAGGACTGCTGCTGACGGCGGGTAGCGGCCTAGTCAGCACCTCTGTGGAACTCTGCAGCGAGCCCCCAAAGCCATTCTCCGAGCCTCGGGCTCCATTGGGCGGAGAGTGTGCCGCTACCTTGCTTGCAGCGGCAGCAGCAGCGGCCTTCTGCCTTCGAAACTCGGCCAGCTGTGCATCCAGGGGTGACATTGGCGGTAACGAACACGCATATACCAAAGCGATCTGCAGTCTAACACAACCTTCAACGTCCCAACCGCACCTTCTTGCGGCCTGCTGCTGCCAGATCACTTCGTGAGGTGCCTCCAGCACTCATCCCGACCCTATTCGCAGCACATGCTCGGGCCTTGCCCCATGCAGTCAGGTATTGTGGTCATCGGGGTCGACAAGCATTATCTTAAGATTTGTCAAGGCGCGTCACGAGTCCCCGCTGCTCCCTATGTTGGCCTGCGTGATCGTTCATCACCTTTGCAGTGGCGCGCGCGGACCCACACTCAGACGTGGACCATCTCCCCGGAGACTTAGCCCCTGCCAGCATCCAGGCAGGGAGGAATTCGACGTCATGTCAGCGAGCCTTGGATCATATCTCGATACGTTATGAGCTCGGGGATGAACTACCTCCGAGCCATTATGCGCGGGGTGCTGTTGCGCCTGCAGAATAGCACTGGGGTGAGCAACTGCTGCCGTGCACGCTGGCCTGCACTGCACCAGACTCCACGCTCACAGCAAAAACAACCTTGCGCAGGGACACGCCGCAACGGCCTGGTCGATCACGGGTATCTTGGGCCTGGCAGCTGTGGTGTATGGATACCTCCAGCTTAGAGCCCAGCGATGTGAGGCCTTGGATGGGAGGCAGGGCTCACCTCGGACCCTTTGTATGCCGGGCCTGCTAATGTGAAAGAGAGAGTGTGACATCCTTGGTCCCACACCACCTTGCGTCTGCAGTGAGGACCAAGAGGGAGGCAAATGTGGATGGGGCAGGGCTGCGGTCTGCTTCATACCAAGTGAGTAGGAACGGAAGCATGCGGGCGTCCCTTTGCTGCTCTTGATGCGGGAACTGCTGGTCGCCCATGTTGGCTGTCCATTGTTGCACGAAAGAGGCGCACTGCAAGCGGCCCCCTCCCCACTTCTTGAGCTCAGGGTCCCGCGGATGCCAGGGCCCCTGATGCACTCTCAGGGAGTGCTGCCGCCGAGAGGTCTGCCGCTCCCGCCTCCCAGGCTCAGTCCTCTGTGCTTCCAGGGCTGTCAGGCCTGGCTGCCTGCCTGCAGGGCGTCAGCAGCCTCACACTCTCCCTCCCAGGGACTCTGCTGGAGGTGCCTGGCTGGGAGGGGCATCCGGGGGCGGGGTGGAGATCATGAATGCATCATGTCCTTCAGAGGGACTGGGAGCTGCCGTGCGTGCAAGCTGGCGCCAGTTTGGGGGTTGACCGTATTTTCATGGTGTCTGGGGTGTGCTCCTGTGCCTGACCCCGTTGCCTCTGTGGTCCTTGCCCCATGATTTGGGATGCCCCTCTGAGGGATAGGTGCCTGCGAGTCTGGTCACTGCACCAGCTTGACACGACCCTCCCAAACCCACCTCCCTCCTGCCCTCAGGAGCCCTCCGCCAATGCGCTGGAGGACTCGGCCAGCGTGATGCCCAGCATGATCCCCCTGGTGCTGGAGCTGGCACGGCGGGTGAACCTGTATGCCCTGGCGCACGTGGCCTCTGACGTCGGCGAGGCTACCGTCCGGGGAGCCCTGGAGCATGCGGGGCTCCTGGGCCCAAATCACGGCCAGCTGCCCCCCCACCGCCTGCTGTTCTGTGGGACGCGGGAGGGCAAGGCCTCCATGGTCCGGCAGCTGGAGCCGCAGCTGCACATCGATGCCGATGCCGAGACGGTGAGGAGGCATCCAGCGGGTGGCTGGGAAAGGGTGCAGAGAAGATTACGTGGACGGCAGGTGGCTCGTGGGTGTGGAGTGTATGTGGCTGGGGGATCGGCGGAGCTGTGCACCCCTGCACTTCATCCCCATACCCTTGTATGGACAGCAGCCCATTTAAGGTCCTGCCCCTGAAGTCTCTCCCGATCGACCAGACATCACCACCATAATGCGATCCTCCGCAGGTTCGCCAACTGCAGCGATTCGTGCCTTCCCTGGTGCTAGTGGGAGGGAAAGGCGTGGTTGCTGGTGGGAATGTGCGGCACGAACCTGATCTCGCCGTCGCCCTGGGTTTTTCCCATTAAGCACCTTCCCAGGCGGCTTCGAGTCCGACTTCCATGCAGAGCCTCGCGTTGCGAAAACCTTGTTCATTGTTGTGAATCCCAATATTAAGGTCTGGCCACGGCGTGCGCGGTGCCATGGGAGGGTGCAACATCATACAGCGTCGCCCCGGGGGAAGGACGAGTATGGTACGGAACGCCGATGTCGTGGGAGGGGCACTCGACATGTCCGTCTTTCCGGCCTCCGCACCGGGCTCCACGAATTCGAGCGTGCCATGTAAACATTAATAATCCCAGGTAATGTGTCGCGATGGGTTCGCAAGGTAGAATTACGCCCTGTACTGCCCCGCTGGCGCGGTCGATTGTGCCCGTGACCCTGGTGGGGCAGCCTGGGGGCGTGCAGGCGAGATCTACTGGGGTTCCGTGTGCGAGTATGGCGGCCTCGACGAAGTGCGCGACTTGGCCAGCCACCCAATCACGATTAATCGCCAACAAGCCATGGAGGCCCCCTAAAAGATATCCGGGGCGTCTTCTCGTGGCTTCTTGGGATGGTTGCGACTGGAGGAGGGGAGTGCGTCGAGTATGACGGTGTCCAGTATGGCTAGGCATTCTCCTCTCCCTAGTATGCCGAGGTACATGAGGGAATGTGCAAGGATAACGGATGCTCCACAGGCGAATGTTGAGCCGGGACCTTGACCTCCGCAGCGTCTGACCGTTCCCCGGATTTGAACCTCGGCTCCCCGAGGTCAGTCTCATACCCCGGCTCCCTTTCAACCCCCATTTGCGAGCGTGCCATGTATGATCATGAAGTGAAGAGTCCAGCATGCCCCCCCATTCCGCACTACCAGGCCGTCGCCCGCACACCGAACCCACGGTGGTTTCGTACGTCCATTCATGAGCCGCAGCGGGTCCCCCTCGCACCCCTCCCCGCCGCTCACCCCGTAGAGTCGGTCCAAGCTTAGAGGGTGTTCGACATCGCTCCCCGCCCCGTCATGCTCTCCGGAGGCCCTGGTCGCGATAAGCCGGAGTCCCCCAGCGGGCGGGCTTCTAGCAGCGAGCCCACGTCCGGCCCCTCCCAAGGCCCCCCTCCCCAGCCCCTGGCCCTGCTCACCCCCCCCCAGCGCACCGGGCCCACCCGCTCGGGTCTGCACGTGAACTACCACCTGCAGCAGGCCGCGGCGATGCAGGCCGCCGAGGCAGCGGCCGGCAGCGGGCCCGCCACCTCCACCTCCCAGGAGGAGGGGCAGCCGACCAAGCGCCCGCGTCGCACATCCGGCCTGCGCCCCTCCCCCCCCGGCCCGTCCGCCGCGGCGGGGGAGGCCCCCTCTCCCTCGGGCGCGGGCGCCATCGCGCCCGCGCTCCCCGGCCTCACCTCCTACCTCCCGGCCAGCGCGCTCTTCCCCACGCCCGTCGACCTGCTCACCCAACTGAACGAAGCGGTGGCGGACTCGGAGCACACCCACGCCGTCGTCTCCCTGGAGCTGCTGCGCATGCTCAACTGGCGCGCGCGCCGTGCCTTCCTCATGGAGCGCGAGGAGCAGCGCGCCCAGCTCCACCGCGCGTCCTATGGCTATGGTGAGCCTCCAGGAGATGTGGGAATTCGAGGGGGAGGGGGTGTGTGTAGACTGTTTGTTTCTGGACGATGGTGAGGGTGGATCACGAGGGAAGGGGCGATGCATGCGCACCACCGGTGGGATCGGCGCGGGCCCATGCCTGCAGGCCTTCCAGACCGCCCTTCCCACCTTGTCCCCGACCCCCTTCCTCGTGCCACCACCATCTCCGGCCTGCCCGCCCCACGCAGGCCCTGCCCGCACCCCCCTGGCCTCGGGCCACCTGGAGCGGCTGCAGGGGGGCCACAGGGCCCCCGCCCCCGGCGAGCCCTACTCCAGCCCCGCCACGGACTTCATCTCCCGCGTCTCGGCGCGCCTGCCCCACCCCAGCCCCGCGCCCTCCAGCCAGGCCTCCAGCCTCTCCTCCCTCCTCAGCCGCCTGCAGGAGCTGGTGGCGCTGCAGGCCGGCGAGGTCCCCCCCGCCGAGGTGGTCGCCGACCCGCACGCCCGCGTGCGATTCGAGGCCCAGCTCGCCACGCCCTCCCCCTTCCTCCAGGTGCGGCGGGGCAGCGCAGCAGACCGGGCGGCCGCCCCACCCCCACAATTGCTCGGGAGCATCTATGTTTAGAGGGGTGCTGGTCAGGCAATCCCACCCTGAGCCACAGATTGATCTTGCAGAGTTGCCGCCGGGCCATCCCAGACATGGGTCACTCCTTCGATATCCCCTGGCGACCTGCTCAACTTCTGCCACCCCCCCCCCCCCCTCCCTCCCCGCAGCAGATGTCGAGCGGGCGGGGCTCGGGCGGGAGCACCAGCCGGGGTCCCCCCCCGAGCGCCTTGGAGACCCTGGCCCTGCTGCTGAGCAGCCAGCAGGGGTCGGTGCAGCTGGCGGCGCGCGCTTCGCGGGACCCGCGGGGCGCCATGCCGGAGGGCCCCCCCGTGCAGACCCCGGCGCCCGCCCCCGCCGAGCCCGCCGCCGCCGAGCCTGCCGTCGGGCCCCTGGTGCAGGCGCTGTCTGCCCTGCTGGAGGCGGTGGCGCGGCAGCAGCAGGAGGGCCCCGACCAGCCGGGGCCCTGAGGACAAACAACCCCGCTCCTCTTTTTCCTCCCTTGCCACGCTGAGCGCACCTCCCCTCTGCCCTTGTCACCCGACGCCGCCCGCCTGCCCCGGCGGGTGCTCGTCTTGCTTCAGGACCAGATACCCTTGGCAACACCCTCTGACCGCTGCGCTGAAAACACACGCCCAGCCTGACCAAAACTGACCGCATCGGCCCCCAGCCCATTTTGGGGCCGGGGGCCACCAGTTTCGCCCCGGCCTGGATGAACAAGCCCCCCCCGGAGGCGCCGCATGCGCCCCTCTGCATTGGCGCGCGGCAGATCTTCCCTCCACCCAACTCAAGCAGCTTTGTCCATGCAATACTCGAGGGCTTGCAGCACCGGACAGTGGGGGGGGGACCACAGCCTAGGAAGGGAGAAACGCACAATGGGCCCTGCTGGAGGGATGCTCGTCAGACGACCGCACAGCTGCAGGCTGATGTGTGGTCAACGCCCACCTTGGACCAGGCATCCCAGAAGGAGCTATGACTTGAGGGTTATTGAGAGTCCCTAAAGCTCCACTGTCAAGGGGTGTGCTGGCTGATGTGGGTGGGAACCGGAGTACATCGACTCGCTGCAAAACATCTCCCTGGGGACCCACTGGGAAGGAAACGGTGCTGGGTGCCGGGAACCTGTCAGTACACTAGAATGAGGAGAGTTGTTACACCAGGAAAGAGCACCAGACATGATCCTGAGATGAGAACCAAGGAAGTACAGGCTATACATGAGTAGAAACTTGAAGTCGACTTTTGCCCTAAGAATGGGGTCTAACAGAAGAAGTCCAGCATGATGAGGCTTCCAAGGCTCCAACAATATATGGGAGAGAGGCATCAATCAGCACGCAAGGTATAGTACTTGACGCAAGGATGGTTCGAATGCATCAGAGTGCAGGAGAGCTGCCAGTTGTGATGTTCTGGACACGTAGGAAAGACACAAAGGAGAGACATGTATTGGCTGCAGTTAAATAATCAATCTGCGCAGTATGCTGGGTAGGGTATGCAGGCCCCTGCTCCGAGCCAGCCAAAAATCACAGGCACACATATGATGGTCTGCACACTGGCTGTGCTGCCATTGGAACTCGTTCTCATGCCTCCACTCTCAGACGTCAGTCCTCTGCCCGATTGCCACACAAGACCGGACCGGCCATACCGGTCTTCTCCTCAAACTCTGTCACCCCAGCCTCCTGCGCCCAAGCCTGCTCCACCATGGCCCTCATGATCTCAGGGAAGTCGACCGCAGCCCCACGCCCCCAAGAGAAGGCCAGCGCGTAGCCGAGCGTCCCGACGCTCTGTGCACATGGGTAGGCAGGGGATGGGTGTGATCAAACCCAGCATGGTCATGTGGGTGAGTGAGATTGTCGATGGTCTGAAAGGGACACCCTTGTGAGAGGTGAGGCCTGCTCCAGTCACATCCAGTGGTGCAGGACGGCATCCTATGCACGCAAGGCATCAGGATGTTTATGGATGGGCATGCTCTGTACAGGGTGCCCCCATGTATTGATTAACACTTGCTGGCTGGGACGGCAGCATAGCCTTTTCCCGCTGGCTGGTGGCCCGACCCAAAGGTGACACGTCCCCCGGCTTGTGTCTCTCCTGCATCCCGAGCCCGCAGGTTTGCACACCCAGACCAACCCTGAGCCCCCATTGCCTTGCTCACCGTCTTCCACTTGGTGTGCCACTCCACCAGTTGCTGCAGGTTCCAGCTCGCGTGCTTGCTCACCTGCTCTGCCAGCCCCCTGATCTGCACCGTGAAGGGACTGCAGGCGTGTGCACCATGGGTCAGATGACGCGCTGGCGTGGCCATCTTGAGCGTTTGCACGGGAGCCACCGGCACACTCAACGCTTTGAGCGCGAATGTAGGCACCTTCACCCATCCATTACCTCCAGGGTACTCACGCGCAGGGTGAGGGAGGCTGAAGCCCCCATACTGAGCTGCTCCCCGCCGCATGGGAGACTACCCAGCCCCATCAGCTCCGCCACCGCCTCCTGGCACTCGCGCCCGGGAGCGGCGCGCGCGGCGCTTTCCTCACGTACCATCGCCCCCATCTTCGACAGGTTCTCGCTGGACACCAGGCGCAGCAGCTTGGCCTGTGTGCCGGCGGAGGGTGGCAAGGCGTGGGCCCTTTAGCCGGAGGGGCGCTGGAAGCGCAGGAGGGTCGTGGAGGAAAGGGCGCGCACGGGCAGGCCTGCAACCGCGGCAGATCTCGGGCCGTGCGCGCCCTGCCGCCGGCGCCAGGACGGCGCCGCCCACTCACGCACCCCCGCCCCTCACCGCTGCGAGGTCTGGCGGCCCCGCCTGCGACCCTCGCTGGACCACCAGCTCCAGCACCACGGCCTGTGGGCATGGGGGGGCGGGGGGGAGGAGGGGGGGTCCGCACGGCTCGCTGAGCTGGGTCGTCATCATCCAGCCGGCACAGGCAAGCAATGTGCGAGCTGGGCTCCGACGTCCCGCCCTCCCACCAGCCCCCTGCTCGTCAGGCAGGGGTCTGAATCCCCCCCCCCCTGTCCCCGGCTCGACTCACCAGCACGAGGAGGCCCAGCCGCTGGTACAGCCCCTCCCAGATGCGCATCATGTGGGCCATGTGACCTTCCAGCCGCTCCCTGCTCGCCGCGTTGCGCCGCGCCAGATAGTCCCGCACCAGGAGAGCGTTCCTCGCCTGGTGATGCAACAATTTTATGGGGGTGAGAGGAGGATGTACAGGCTGCGCAAGAGCATCGGGGTGAAATGCTACACTTGCCCACGTGGGCTGCAGTGCCCTGGCTTCGGTGCCAGGGCATTCCTGCTCTGCGCGGCAAGGGCGTGGCTGCCTCCTAGTCAGCAGTAGCTTTGCTTCAGCAGAAAAGAAAACACAAAAAGAGCACCACCCTGTCCCACCTGCCATCGATCGAAGAAGTCGCGCACGTCGTCCGCGGTGTGGATGCTGCCCTCCAGCAGCTCCTCCCACTCCTCTGAGGAGGAGTGGGGGGGGGCGACCACCCTCTCCATCTGCCCTCTGGATCCAGGGTGAGTGGGTCAGGTGCCCGCGCCGGATCCCCATGCAGGTCCTGCCAAGCCACCCAGGACTCACCGCAGTGCTCACCCTCCACACCAGAGGCCGCCTCCGCCCGGGCCGCCACACCACCACAGGGTGCTTGCAGCACTGGATGGCCGCTGCCCGACCCAGGGCTGGCATCGTGGGCCTGGTACTTGGGAGATGCGCCGAGGCATGCTCGCCCTGCACCCTCCTCGTCGCGTGGCTGCGGTGATGAAGGTTGCTGCCCCGGCAGGGCCTGCGGCTCCGTGGACATCTCTCGGCCGGCAGGCCGCTGCCTGGCGGGATTGAGATGCGCTCCGTCCCGAAAGGCTGCCAGCATGGCATCTCGACAGCCCAGCACCCGCAGCTGGAGGTCGATGCTGGGAGAGAGTGGTGCACGTGGAAGGGGCCGGGTGGAGCAAAAAGTGCCAGGCTGCATGGCAGAGAGCACAGGTGATGCCGCATTCCACTCCTGATGCACTGTCTGGGCAAGCATCAGCTGGAACCCAAAACCCACCTCCTTCTGAGTACACGGTTTTCCTGTTTGAGGGTGGCAATCTCTTCCTGGCCCGCAACCAAACGGGACTCCTGGTCCTGCACCAGGGCCGCCTGCCGCTGCCTGAAACGCTGCTGGGCCTACAGAGGAGTGATCACCATGCTGCGTGTCAGACAGCATTGCGCTGGACTGCCAGATGCCTGAACGTGTGGGACCCCACCCACCTCCTTGTTCAGTTGTCGGGCTCGCAGGACTCCCGGATCGGTGGTACCCTGAGCAGTGTCGGGAGCGCTCTGGCGGGTCGAGACGCTCATCCTGGTTGCACGAGGCGCTTACCCTCTTAACGACGCTGGTTTTTCCTTCGACCTCTCAGATGATGTGCGCGTAGCGCAGATAAACTCTCCAGACTGGAGAATGCCCAACGGGGGCTTCATGGAGAACTTGCAGGTATTAGGGCATCATGACAAATTACGATCGCGGGTTGTCTGCATTTCCCCCTTCGTCATCGATTTGGTAGGTTACCCAGCGGGTAAGCATTGGGCAGCGCCTCATGGATGGGGGATTTTGTGACCGCCAACATCGGCGGCCCAGGGTGGACCGCACCAAATCACATCATTGCAACGCTCGTGTATGGCCCGCAATGATGGCTGCGAGGATCGATTACGCTCAAGTATTAGGTGGCAAGCTTTAAATAATCGTCGTATGACCAGTCGCGGGTACTGCTCGAGCTCTTGGTGATTCATGTAGTGAACAGGGTGATGTGGAGCAGCCAGGGGGATTCAGCAAGTCGAACCAACCCACTCCTGCCCATGCCCGAGGGATGGGAATATATCGGGTATGAAAGCAAGGATCAGGCTTTGGTGTTTGAATGACGTCAATTTGGCGCCCTCTGCCTTCCATAATCTTGTATAGCGCTGCACGGAGAGAGATGCAGGTATGTGTGAACATCCTACCACGAAATGGTTCTTCCCGATGTGCAGTCTGTCGGAGATGTCTCCACCAAAGTGCTCTCTGTACTTTTTACGCCTTCCTTTTGTCCTTTTAGATCTACAAGGCTTAATGGCATGTCGGACATATTTCCAGCAAGGCTCTGATCACGAGACAAGCTTGGACACCCCTGCGAATGCAAAGCTAGCCCATAGTCCCCCCCGGGGTCAGACACTTTCTGCCCTTCACTCCCCCTGAACCGTGACGACGAGATTCCTTCGCCCCCCCGCATTTCGGTGCTCGCACAACCAGATGCCCTGTGGAGGATGATGCGCAAAGTTGTGCTGAACCTCAGATCCCGTGTCGCTGCGACAGTGCCAGGCTGAATCCAAGGTTGCCCCCCGTGGAGCAGCCCTCTCCTTGGACACATCCACGCCCTACTGGCACTTCCAACCATGGCTACCCCACCTGCCATGTTCCAAGTGCTAGCCGTCCTCGGGTGATTGGGATGGAAACAGACGCTCCAAACATGCTGGACTTGACATGTGCTGGCATGTCATCTGGCCTGAGAGAAGCAAGATTAAACAGGAGAGGGGGGTTGATGGACTTTGTTAAACTGCCATGTGTCCATCTGCTTTGAATTGGATGAGGGCCCAGCCAATACCACCATCCTCCCTAAACCTCTGCCAGCACCTCACCCCTCGTCACTATGCACCCAGGGGGCTTTGGAGCCTTCAGGCACGACTGCGCTCAAGAAGGTCTCCATGTCTGCCTGTCATTATAACGGGCCTGGGATGAGCATACAACATCGACTATGCTCCCTGTCCTCTTGCCCATTCATGAGAATTCTCCATGGCAGGGCTGTGCCCCTTCCCGTCTGCTCTTTCACAAGCCCTCTTACTCGGACATCGGGATCCGCATTCTCATTGATCGTTAATGATGCTGAGGTGTGTTGGATGAAAATATGGCAGAGACCCGCATGGATCCCCTTGAGGAGGGGGTTGATCTCCCGCACAATGTCGCTGGTCACAAGGTGGCAGCCCCTTTGGAAGGCTGGCAGCCTAATGTTCTGTTGTTTGAAACCCATTATATATGGGCGAGCGGTGTTGACGAGGTGTACCTCTTCGTGCGCTGCTCTCAATCACACTCGCTTAGATATACGCTGTGGTTGGACAACCGGGGTGTGGAGACAGGGTTGAGTACAAAGTCGAGCACCGTCTAAGCTTGTAGCTCCACTGAATGATGGGTGACTGTCCTTAGCATGGCCATCGCGGGTCGCTGGCTGATTCACCGCCATTGGGTCCGACCCCCCCCAGAATGGTGGGGATGCGGGACAAATTAGAGCAGAGTCCCTCCATCAACAGCATGCTCTGGTTCTGCAAGTGAGTTACACAAGAGCAAGCCACAAGCTCAATTCTTAAAGCAGCCACGCCTGTTCAAATGTCCAGAGTAGGAATACTGCCATGCTCCATGGCAAGCCACGATCTTGTAGTTCCAGGTGGGAGCAGCGTTTGAGAGCGTGAAGAATGGCAAGGACCCTTCAAGGACACAGAGTCGTCAAAAGAGCAAAGACCGATCAACATCATTTCATTTATTGGGCAAGCATTTGGAACACATGCTGTGCCTGTGCAGGCCTCAACTTACTTATCAAGTGGGACATAATTACCTCTAGGTCGGGATGCCACCGCTGCACATCCATCCACAGCCTTGCGGAAGGCAATCGAACGACGGCAGCTGCCCAGCATCATATGCCTGCATCCTGGCCGGCCTTGCATTTCATACGAGGTCTGAGCAGGCCGCGTTCTCCTGATCATATACCTCCACCATGTGCCGAGCTATCTCCAGTGTGTCCGGGAAGTTGCGACCCGACTTGGCCCCCATAGTGGCATAGTTGAGTGGCCCGAAATTCTGCAGGGTTGCACTTGGATTGGAGATGAGTGGAACGAAGGGGGCCCACAGGCATGGCTGGGCAACTACGGAGGCACGCAGGGGAGCCGGGAACCGGCAGAGGGCCAGAGGCGGTCGTGGGTCCCCTCTCCGCATCTACCGGCGCTGCCTGCTGACGGTGACAGTCGCGGCGCAGACCCAGGCAGCCCCTGCTCCATCGCAAATCCCTTCTCACGCCGCCTCACAATTATAAGCGCCTCGGAGACGCCTCCAGCTGCAACCGTGTCTCGGGCGGAGGCAGCCTGCACCTCCATCACAGCCCGGCGCATCTGCGTGGAGACCACGTGATTGGGTTGGGGGGCAGTTGCGAGGGCCGGAAGGGTGGGGGGGCGCTGCATTGCCACAGGCACGCGCACGGCAGGCAGCACTCAGCAGGCCAGCAGCCTTGTGAACCTTTGAGTCCTGAGTCTGGAGGGCAGTTTGTTCCAGCACTCCTCCGAGGTCCCACCCTGCCAGCACCTGGAGGGAGGCGGCGGCGACCCCAATCAGGCCCCCGGCCTCCAGCACGGACGGGAAGGTCAGCCTCGCCAGCTCGGCAGACACGTCGAGCCTGACCCGGCGGCCCTCGGCAATGGTCGCCACGAGGTGACTGTGCGCCTTGCTGATTTGCAGCACGGCGGCGGAGGGCAGCTTGGCCACGAAGTGCCTCTGCGTTGCATGGAGCCAGGAGGTCGCGGAGAGGGGACGCTGGTGTGGGGGCTGGCGCAACTGGGTCCTCGAGACCGCGTGGCTGCACCCGGTGAATCAGGCGCATCGCCGTCCCCGGGACACACTGCACAGCGTGGGCCGGGGGTTCCAGGCGTCCCAGAACAGTGCAGCACCCTCCACGCACCGCAATCTTCTCCCACAGGTCGTCCTGGTACCCCTGCTCCGAGTATTTGTGCCGCATCATGCCCTGCAGTTTTCAGGGAGGAGAGGCGTGGGTCCATGACCAGACGTGGGGAATGGCAGCAGGGGAGACCACATCCTTGCAGCTGGCGATAGATGAGAGGGCCCATGGGGGGCATCCAAAGTGCAGAAGCCTGCGACCCTGGTGACGACCCTGTGGCATTCCCTTCACCTGAACGAGGTTCATGTCCTGCAGCATGAGGCGCTCCATGGTTTTGAGCTGGAACCAGAGGTTGGCCTCCACAGTGCTTTGAGTCTCGGGCGTTGGGTTGGCCTGGTAGCTGCTCACATTCAGCCTGTTCTGCATCTGTGCTTGGAGACAGAGGAGAGGTGGGTTGGGTGCTGAGGAGTTTCTTCCCCTCGTCACACAGAACAACATTGCCTGCATCGTGCCCTGCCCGGTGCCACTGCACGAGTGGGGGCCGAGCGTGAACCCACCTTCCAGGCATCGTTGAAGTGCAGGAGGTCATCCACGGTGCAAATCTTCGCTGCCATTTCGTACAGTGTCCCCGTCGGTTGGTGAGGTTGGGCTGCAGGTTTGATGGGGCAGGTGAGCGAGGGACGTCAGTAGGAGGTGTGAATGACCCTGCTTCCCTGCGATGGTGCTGCGACTGGTGAGTCACCCACAGGCCCCTCGCCACATTATCTCCACCTGGCTTGGCCGGGGCGTGTTGCTCTGCCTGGACCTCCTCCACCTCCTCTTCAGGGCCTGTCACGATCCCATGCACTGAAGTTGGCAAGGGCTCCTCATCCGCCATGTAATCGGGCAGGGCCGGGATGTCCTGCACGCCGGGGCAGGGATTGTGCTCAGGCGGTGGCCCGACAGTGCACTGAGGAAGAGGTGGGCCCATGCCGGCACATACTGGGATTGCGGCAACTGTCATGCCTCGTGCCTGTTTGCAAAGGCTGCAGCCAAGGCAATGCAGTGTTGCCTACCCGTTCCACACCTGGGGTCCCAGCAGAGACTGCAGGTCGCTCTTCGAGCTGGGGGTTGCCTCAAAGACTGCCAGCATGGCCAGCCGCACATGCAGTCGACGAAACTGACTTGCTATGCTGCAGGGAGAGGGAAGGCCAAGTGAACACGAAGCATGGGGGACGCCAGTCACCACTCAGCCCTACAGATGGCAGCCCCAATCGTTGAGCAACCTCATTGGCTGGTCTCCACCTCCCACCTCTCCTTGAGAGCTTCATTCTCATCCAAAAGTCGGTCTGCCTCTGCATCCAGTGCGTACAAGCGCTTCAGGTGCGCATCATGCACGACCTTTTGCCGCTGTCGAAACCGTTGCTGGGACTGGAGGGGACAGGACGGACGGGCATTGGCGCTCTACAAGACATTGACAAAGCCCCGAACGCCAAACGTCGACAGCTAATCACCTCGCGATTGCGGCGCCTGTGGTCATTCTCGGTTGATGCTCCTGTCATACACTGCTCTGAAGATGTAGGTGCATCGGAGTTCGATTCAATGCCCGATGCTCCCCGGCTCAGTATGCCATCGGGCCCTGTCTTCGCCAAGCCCTCGTCCATTCGCGGTGCTCTTTACGAGCGGCACGCAAGCAGGCAAAATGCCAAATGGTTTTCATGCAGAATTCCAAGTACAAGAGCCAGAGAGTTGCAGGTCACGAATTATAGCTCGAGGCGCTTTCGTGTCCAGTTTTCGGGTGACGTGACCCCCCGTGCAGGCGGGTTGCCTTTGAGGGTGAAACTTCCCGGCATCTTTCCCAGGTTTGCACTCAGCATTCGATGTGTTCAAAGGATTTGTGCACTGCTGCTGCACGATTTCTTGCAATCTTTGCATGCAGAGCCGAAACCTGCGGCAATGGTTACCCTTTTGCATTCACACTGCTCGTCATGAAGCTTCGCGCAAGGCTTACCAGACAGCACCACCCTCCTCATGTTTATTCTGGGGAAGAATGGCAGGGCTGAAGATGGAATGCGGGCCGCTGTGCCGATGAAATCTCTCAAACAAAAACAGTCCCGCTCAGCACAGTTGCCATGCGGCCCCGGGATAGGCCGTGGACGCGAATGCTGTGGCGCAGGAACTCGGATCTGCCACATAGCAGAGCCTGATGGGCAGCAGGAAGCCGCTGTCTACCCGCTGCCCACAGCCAGGCTGATTTGTGTCCACGCTCCCGCTCTGCCCTGTCGCAGAGCATGCGCACCCGGCAAAAGGGGTGGACGTAGGGGTTGGTAGTAGGGATGTGCCGCCAGGGAACGGCCTGGACAATGGAGGGGTGGAGGGAGGTGGGTCAGATTCTGAACAAGGGTCATTGTGCTGCACACTCATTGAGCTGTGTAGAATACAATGGCACACAGAACATGAAAGGATCCCATAGTTACAGCAAGGCCTACATGACAAATGGGCTGGGACTTGGGCTAGGCGAAGGGCTGGGGGATGGGCTGGGGCTGGGGCTGGGGCTGGGGCTGGGGCTGGGGCTGGGGGATGGGCTGGGAGAAGGACTAGGGCTTGGACTGGGAGACGGACTGGGGCTGGGAGACGGGCTGGGAGAGGGGACGGGGCTGGGGGACGGGCTGGGGGAAGGGCTGGGAGATGGGCTGGGACTGGGACTGGGACTGGGACTAGGACTGGGAGACGGACTGAGACTGGGACTAGGGCTTGGACTCGGGGAGGGGCTGGGGCTGGGTCTGGGACTTGGAGTCACTATGGGCGGCAGCACAGGCTCCAGCTCCGGAGGTGGTGCCGTCTCCCCAAGACCAGGGAAGCCACTGAGCATGTGAAGCACACCCTCCGTTGCCAAGAGGTCTGCAAGGACGATGGTGGCGCCTCCCACCGCCACATTCCCTGGGGTGGGCAGGGCCATGGGGCTTGCCACATTGCAACAGGTGGACCAGCCTGAGCGCATGCAGCTGGACAGAACCACCCCGGTCCAACAGTTGCCCCTGGTGTCAAACCTGGCCCGGACGATGTGACGGGCACCAAGCCCCCGCTCAGGGTGTCGACGGAGGGCGCTGCCTCCAAGTCTGCCAGCTTCAGCTGGCCTGGTACCAGGGTGTTCTCGAGCAGGGGCTTGAGGAAGACGGGGTCCTGGAGTTGCCCCTCTGTCAGGAGGCCAGATCCAAGGGCGGAAGCGAATGCCGCATTGGTGGGTGCCAGGACTGAGAAGGCGGAAGACGTGTATGTGGGGTGTAAACATGGTGAGATGAGGTAGTCCAACGGCGTGGGATCTCTTGCTGTCCACAACCTCAGGAAGGGCAACACGTCTGGAGGGCTGCATGGGGGAGAGCCCATCACCCCATGCGGCTCCGTTCGCTCCGTTC